CAGCCTACTTCTACTTTTAGTTCAGTTATTTACAGCTGGTCCCAGTGCAGCTTTTGTGTAGTTTTCTTCTGGGGATAGTTATCTTGATTACTTCAGGTGCAATTAAAGCTAATCTTAATGGCACAGAATTATAACTCTGACAATAGTGTGTTTCTAATCGTGTGGCAGTTAGTGGGAAGGTCCTTTCCTGAGGATTGTTTTCAGAGTTCAGTGTTTATGAACTTGACTGGCCTGCACAGAACTCCAATCTCAACCCCATCCTACATCAGTGCCCAACCTCAGGACTTGTGTGACTAAAATCTCTGCAGCCAGAATCTAAAACCTTGTGTAAAAGCCTTCCAGAAGTGTGGAGGCAAGTTATAACAACACAGTTTTTGGCTACAATGTTCTGATGTCTGATGCATACTTCTGGCCCTGCATTGTAGAACAGCAGAGGTGAGAGACAGGCAGTGCAACCTTTTGCTATTTCAGAGTGCAGCCTCCCTGAAATTCACTAGTTCCTTTGAAAACCCCTATTGATGTTGGACTGTTGGATTTGTTTTGGTTTTACCGTTAGCTTCCAAAGTGCAGAGCCGCCCCCTTTTTCATTGTCTCCAGATATCAGGAAAGCATTTTACCCCTTTGGAGGATAAACACATCTTAGGTTATCATACCTGCAGGGCTACACGTTAGATAATGTGATCATACAGTAGATTATATGGAGGCTGGAGGCTGCCATTAACCTTACAAAAAATGTATTTCTATAAATTAAAGTTCTGGCAGAAGAAGGGAACTTGTGACTAATGTGATGATGTAAAATGCTAAAGTGGAATCACTGTTGACAAGGTAGTTGCAAAAAACCTCAAAAGTCATCCAAGTTTTTTTGTTCTGGGTTTTTTTTATTCAGTGAATTCGCCTTGGGTGATCCGATCAGTTATTGTTAGTGTGAGCACATTTTTTTCAAAGCAAGAAAGCAGAGATCAAAGACGGTGGTGTCCTTTAAATGAGAAGGTTGCATTTTTCTTTTTTCTCAGTTTCTCAGTAAAAAAATAATTTATGTAAAAAAAAAAAAATGTTTCAGACCTTGATTATTATGTACTAAAATGATAAGTATGTGTGAAATGAAAAGAGCTGTAGTGACAAACTCGCAGAGAATTATCACCCAACTCTGCAGCTTTTCTGAGCTTCCCAGCCTCTCTGTTCTCAGCGACTAACTGGGGAAGATAGTGGAAAATTTGGCAGCTAAAGAAACAGATATTTTTCTCAGGAGTAAAAAAAGAGGGTAAATATTGCACCTACATTCAACAGGAGGAAAGAAACACAACTCCAAATGAATGCTTATGCTGGTTTATGTGTGTTTGATGTGTAAATAAGCCACTGTTTGCTAACCCGTTCACCGTATCCTCTTTATATGTCATATGTTAATACTGTGTGTCCTCTTTTCCTGGTTTTGGATGACATTGTATTACACTGACCGCACACACACACACAAATCCACTCAAAAACTGAAGTGCTGTTCTAAAGCAGTGTGCAATGGATATTAAATATCCAGTGAGTAGGATTTAGTGGCATCTAGTGGTGTAATTGCAGATCGCAACTCTGTCGCTTCACCCTCCCTTTCCAAGGAGAAGGAGAAACTACAGTGGCTGTGAAAGTTGAGTCAGTGTTTGTCCCTTCTGGGCTACTGTAGAAACATGTTGGTTCAACAAGGAAGGCGTGCAGAGGTGTCTTATATTCAGGTGATTACACACTGATTAATATTCCATTTATGCCAACAGAGCCTCCTAAATGTTACACCTGGACCTTAAAATGGCGAGTGAGTGATAGAAAGAGTACTTCAGCTTGATGCTGCCTTACTGGATAAAACCTAACTAACCAAGAGTTAAACTGACCAAAAACTCTCAAAAATAGATGATCTGGATCATAAGCAAAATAATACAATAACATTCATAGTCACTGGACAGAATGTTGTGTGTCATTATCACTTACATTTTACCGCCACACTGCTAAACGTTTGCAACTCAAAGACAAAAAAAGGAGTAAAGGGTAGGAAATGTTTTGCGTGCCTGTGGCTGAATCTGACAGAAGTACAAATTAATGCAATAGTTCCAGACTGTCTCGCCTGAATGATGCCCTCAAGTCAAGGAGAAACACTTAACACAACACTGGCTTTAAAACGTGTTGAGACAGAGCAGCTCACTCTAACTCATTGCTGTTTAATTACTGAGCTCATATGTTGGAGCGGGAAGTCAAGTAAATACACAAATAAATAAAAGTACATAAGCAGCACTCCATTATCTGCAACAGTGGTAAGAGGTGGATAAGAGGCCTTTAATAAACATGTTTTGACAATAAGCCAAAATTAGACACTTTAAATTTCAGCAGCAATGAAAGCATTTCAGCTGAGTTCACAATGAAAGGCAGGACAAACAGGTACCCTTTAATCACATCATTGTGTTGGAGTCAACAGCATTCTTATTTGTCATCGTAAGTAGTAGCTGTGAAGTTTACTGCTCCTCAAGGTCAGCTCACTTCCTGCCTTATCTCATCAGCTGATGAAAGCTGATGAGATCATGGAAGGATTTTCCTGTCAGCTGAATACAGGCAGGAAACCGTGTGCGGGGTCTCGTGTCTTCAAGCCGAGGGCCAGGCAACTTTTAACTGATGGTGAGGTAAACAAACAGGCTGTCGGGCGGAGAGCGGGCGAGCCTGCCGCGGTCAGAATGATAAATGTCTGAATGTCAACACTCGCAAAGAGGAGACAAAGTGTTCTTGAAGACATGAAACTTTATTTTTCCCTCCCACGGAGATCGTTGATCTTGCATTAGCAGGTTGAGAAGAGAAGGACAGAGTTGACAGTACAGATGGCAGCACTTTTCCTCAACAAACTTTCAGGTCTAAGTGCTTTCAGCAGACGGCAAATGATGCCATATCTTAAAACAAATGTCCCCTCTGGTTTGTAATAACTGCACAGGTCTTCTGTTTTCTGAATCTTCTGTGAATATCCCCTTGGAAAGTAAAGTAAAACTTCCACTGCAAATTACCATTTGATCATTTTACTCCCATGTTAATCTGCAACATTAGGTTAATTGTTTACATTTGGTATGGAGTAAATAACAGTGTAATTTCTGTAATTTCTGTCATTTAGATTTGTAGGGTTTTTTTTTTTTGTCTTTTAGCAAAAACTTACTGAAAATACTTTAATTGTTCAGCCTCTGGGATAAACTGTCAAACAGTCAATACTTATTGCAGCCACGGTGAAAGGAGCTGAAGGTGTTTTGGGCTGTTAATTCAAGAGGCTCATCCAGCTACTCAGAATGACTAACCCTTTGGAGAATAAGTAGCTAAAATCAAAGGTACAAAATATCAACAGATAATGAGATGAATGATATACTCATGCAGCATAATCAAAGTGTTCTGTAGTAGAACAAGTCCACTGTGGGTACAGAGGTCCCACATTTACCTCTTTAATTCAGAGGTTGTCCTCTCGCTCTGAGGAAGTCTCCGTGCTCCTATAGGGAATTTCTGAAACAAAGGATTGTCAGGGAGGAGAACGCCAAAGATAATGAGCTAAATGTTAGACTTTTTCTGCTTGATGCCTGACTTTTGATGCTGCTGCGCAGGAAAAATAAAAAGTACATTTGATGGATTCTTAATGCTCCGTATGAGCAATAAAAAGAGCAGTCACACTGATTTACAGTTTGAGAGGGTGAAGTGAAAGTATGGCAGTTAACTCTTATTGTGTTCCAGGTGTTAACAGTCGTGAGTGTGAGGTGTGATTATTCTCTTTTTGCTGTGAATGTTTCCTGTTAACAGGCATATGTGCCACAGTGATGTAAGAGTGTTCAGGCTTTTATTTCAATCAAATACTGCACAAGTTGGCTGCACTGATCAGTTCCTCTAATATGGCATTAATTGCAATGTTTTTTGTAGAAACCTGTTCACATTCCTGGAATATATGTAGGCCTACTTTAAAATAGAATACGCTAATTAAGAAATTATCTTTTAAAAGAATGTGATATTTCAAGCAATGTTTCCTCCGTAATCAGTCTAATACTTTTGTTTACGAACTGATAACTGCAAAACAAATGAGATTGCTGTCATTTGTATCTAGTGCTAATTAGTAAATGTTAACAAGCTAACAGGCTAAACTTAGATGGTGAAATAAAGGTTTGTTTTTAGCAAAGCATAGCTGAAGACTCGTAGTCTTTCAAATTAAGCACAATCAAATGTGCGTTTAAATTAAAATCTTTTTTTGCTCCTAGATGCCCAATGTTTGCGCCAATATTAGTAGTGCCAATACAATCATAATTAGGTTTACTGCCAAATAGGTTCACATACAAGTTGGTTGCCTTGCTGTTTTGGTGCATAAAAATAAACATTGTATGTAGAAAATATAAAGAGAGATAAAAATCAAGTACTGCAAATCAATATGCATAAATATAAATATATAATTTATATTATGTTATTATATGGACAACTCATGTATTTTAAACATTAGTTGCATTGACTTATTTTTTTCCTGCCTTCTCATGACAAATCAATAAGCCTTGATGCCATTGAGGCATTGAATTCAGTAATCTCGACAGACCTTCTGCTTCCTAGTATTAGGGAACTTCTTACTGCTGTGTACTGTACTACTGTTCAAACCATTGTGTTGCATGCATGCAAATTAATCTAAATTGCAAATTAGTTTGACATGAAATATGCAAGAGTGGCTGCCACAGTCAGTGGTGTACAGCAGCACATAGTATGTACCAACAAACAACATGCCTGCAGCAGTGTTCAGATCATCTTTTTTTTTAATCTCTTCTTTGATCATGATTTTCCAGTAAACAACAAACAGTGTGTAACACTTTCACACAGCTGTGATGCCTTCAGTTATTTAATAGCTGAATATAAAAGTTGATTGACAGGTCACAAAGGGGACTCACAGGCTTAACCTAATTTCCTTGTCGTTATTGTTTATAGCTTCACAGATACAGCGGGGGGCCTGTCTAAAAGAAGCCAGTGACAACAAATAAAACAATAACATTTATTTATTGATTCATAGGTTATACATTTCATGATATAATAGCGATATATTATTATTGGCAAAGATACTATAATCCAATTGCATTTCTATACATAAATACAAAATCTGAGGTAGGGCCTCAAAGATTGATGACAATGAAAATAAATAAATGCATTTCACATATATGATATATATTTTCTTATTTTTTTATATCTCACACCGATTTTAAAAGATATTTGTCATATATCTAGTCTCTACTTTCAAAACAAAGGATGTCATGAGCTGTTGGAGGCACATATCTATATCCATAGGCAGCAGTACCTCACATAGAACACACAGAAATATATGACATTACTCAAGTAATTAGAAATTTAACCTATGCATTCATAGGTCGGACAATAAAGTGCCAAAAAGACACAACAGACATAACAATAGGAATACTGTTACCATATGAGATAGACGATAAGCTATTCTGTGGTGTTATTTTTGAAATACATACAATATTCTACCATTAGAGGACATCTATAAGGCCAATGGTTACCTGAAGATGTTTTGTAACGTATTGGCAAACATCAAGGAACACTACATGGGATATGAATGGCAGTATCTCAACCTCCTATACGCGGATGACACGTTCCTTTTTTCTTCTAAAGTTTGTTTTCTGTTTTCACTACAACCCTAGTTTAAAGTACTCTTTCTTTGGTTACCTATACTGCCCAAAGTTGACTTGCAGGCAAAGCGAATTGACAGTTACTTTTTCTGTTTTTTTTATTTCTTCCTCCTCTGTAAGAAGGACAATAGCAACCCTCCGTTTCTAAACATTACGTCGAACAAAAAACTCCCTAAAGTAAACATGCACGGACTTATATTATTGAGAGAGAAAGGACAAGGATTACTATACATGGACATTGAGTTACAGCAACACAAACTGCACATGCAAGCTCTTCAGTGTTATATTTTGTGAAGCAATGTGGTTTTAACTGAACCCTAAGCCATTTTTTTTTCTCAAACCAAAAGCAGAGAAGCCCAGTCGAAATGGAAACAAGGACACAAAACACATAGCTATTTATCTGTGGCCCTAAAGGAAATCATTAAAATCTATCTCGGGGAATAAAAGGACCATACCGTCCAATACATCTAACACATGATTTCAAATTCCAACCTGCTCGCACCCCTGCTCTCAAGCGAGTGGTTGCCATAGGGTTGAATTTTTTGGAGCATATCAGTGTTAAAAGTTTGTTTTACACAGCTCATGTTCACAATTGGTGGTCTAAGATCCTCACGTCTGTCAGGAAAGAGAAAAAGGACCATCAGGCCGAGGCATCCTAGGAAAAAAAAGTCTTGTAAATCTCCTTTGCTTCTTTTAGTGATCTACTCTGAGACTGGCCATGCAAACATCTGATTGACAGTGGAGTTCAGTAAAACGAATACAGAGACAAACACACACACACAAGCATACACAGACATACATTATTATCACGTTTGAACAAATAGAGCTAAATACACAGTCTTAACAAAAGCAACACTGTGGAGCAAGCAAGCTATTTAACAGCAGGGCTTTTTGTGCTCATTAATTGATTATGTTTTGTTTTCAAACCGTACAACCTCTTAAATCATATCTGTGCTATTTCCGTGTCAAGATTATTAAAAGACATGGCTTAGAGAAATAGTTAAGGAGAACCTCTGAGCAACTGTTATTGCATCCATACCTGCAGCCTCTATTTAAAACACTTCAGCCACTCAACTCAAGTAAACGCCTGCAGTGTTAAAAGCATAATAAAGCCAATCGGGACGTTGTATCCACATGAAAATGCATATCCAGCTGGTCAAAGCATGGAAAGTACTGCTTCTGAGTTGATGCATTGTGTTACTTTTTAGGTAATTGGTTGAAAGCTGACAAAGTAAAGGTTGGCTGCCTGTCATGTCACATTTATAGAAAGTTGCACGCCTGTTGAGCTGCACAGGACTGTTCTTTCAGGCTGCTGTGGTGTAACATCCCGACATGACTTTACGCCCCCAGGAAACACTCTTACAGTAGCTAACTTGTGCTGATGATGTCTTAACAGCACAACTTAAAGGGAAATATGTTCTAAATTACAGTAATTTGACTGATTCTGGTGGACCACAGTGTGAGCAAGGCTACCATAAAGTTGATGAAAGCCTTTCATTTTCTTCATGTGCAAATAAAACTGATTCCGCAAACTGGCTCAAGAGACAATACAATTTCAAGACGATTACAAGGCATCCGAAATTAGATCTTAAATTAATCTTAACTAATTCTTGTTTTCCATACATATAAACATAATGAAAACAAAGATACTTGATTTAGCACTGCACACAGTTGGCCAAAACTGGTTAAGTCACTTGTATGTCCTGTATAATCATCGCAAGGCGCATTTAAGCAACAGCAAGCGAAAAGCAAAGTGATGCTGCACTGAGGTCATCAGGAAGTAGTATTTTGATTCTGATCCTTTACAGGACACTTCCAGACTCCTTCCAAAATAGTTTAGCATTAGGATGGCTCTACTCTCTGTTTCCTATGCATTGAATGCTATTATTCCTACAACTACCGGAGTAGTCTGATGGAATCGAGTATACCTGAGACCCTGTTTTCATGAGGACACACAGAGAAGCAAGAGGCATAAGTCTGAAATGGCAAAGAGGTCTCCGGAGCTCTACCACAAACATCAAGAGACAAAGTACACTTTCCAGGAAAGAAGGAGGCCATTTTCTAGTCTAATCTTCATCTACTCACACATAGCAGCTGCTCCTAACATTATGAGGACGCGACAACACACACACGTACAGCTTGAAGATAGTTTTTTTTAAGAAGTGTACACATTGTACAAGATATTATCGAGCTAGCAAGAGAAACATGGTTCAGAGAGACATGAAATAGACTCACACACACACTCTCAATCTCCATCTTGCTAGCTCTCTCCTCCGATGATGCTATACATATATAACTGTATATGTATAAAGTATATATATATATATATATATATATATACACATATATATTTATATACTTTATACTGTTACTCTACTGATGTAATGTACATTGTAAAGATGGTTTTCACAGATGGCTTGACAGGTTCACAACACATAAACGCACCATCTAAAATATATTCACAAAGTGACTATCAGGTCACCTTTCGAGACCTAAAAAGGTTAAATGGCCACGTTATCACCTACTAAAGGAAGGATAGACTAGTCTAGTGGTTACCTACATTAGGAATGTGCTACTTTACATTATAGGATAATACAATAGAGGAGAACAGGTATACGGCTCAATAAATAGATAAAGAGAGAGGGTATCACAAATGGTCCCTCAGATTCGGAGGGAAAAATAGACTCAAGCTTCTATCATACTGCAGAGTCATCCAGGCCAAAGTGTATCTACTCAAAGTGGTAATCAGGATGCATTCGCTACTCTACTGGGACGTAGGAGGCACAAATTGCAGATCTTGTAATCTATTTTTGACAAAGCAAGAGCGACTGAGCAATAGCTAATGTGAATATACATATATACTGCTGGAACAAAATGTGATACCAGTGCATACTGTGTTTCTTTTTCTTTTTTTTTCCCGAGGCAGTTGATATTATTTGTATCGCCGATGGAATTTTGTACACAGATAGAACAAAAACACAGATCCCCGTTGAGCTCGTTGAACCGCTGTCGCTCAATTTTCTTTTTGTTTTGTGTCTGCTTGCACCAAGATGATTCATTATCTCTACACACAAATATGATGGCACACACACACACACACACACACACACACACACACACACACACACACACACACACACACACACACACACACACACACACACACACACAAACACACATACACACATGACTCCATAGGGAGCAGCTACGGTGAGTCTAATATTGCAAGTGCAGTCTGAGCTGTGTCATTTTATGACACAATTTTTCTCTTGGAATAAAGATCCCTGGGAAGGGTTCTGAAGTAATCAGTGGTCATGTGTGGGAGGCAATGATAGCCCATTAACCGAGTACAAAGCAGCAGTGGAGGAGTAGACTCCACCTGGGCAGCCACTCCTCCCTGGCAGAAGAGAGGAAGTGGTGAGGAAGAAGAGAGGGAAGAAGAAAGGGAGACTGTTTCCACATCCATGATACAGGGAGGAAGACAGGAAGCAAAGAGGGTGAAGTACGGATAGGAGAAAGAGAGAGGGGAGGAGGGAGAAGAAGAGGTGGAAGTTGCCCCCCCTTACAGTGCCCCCTGCCGGGGCTGGAGGTGGTGGGTCTGGTGCAGCTGGGACGACTGCTACTGGTAGGAGCCGAGCTGGAAGTCCTTGGGGGGCAGTTTGAGTCCCAGAGAGTTGGTTCCCAGAGGGTCCATCATGTTCTTGTAGCGTTCTCCACGGTGCTTCATCAGGAAAGGACCCCAGTCGGGCTGAGGGGAGCAGACCAGCTTCAGACGCTGCGAGAGGAGAGGCAACACAAAAAAGGTTTATATGGTAAGATACAATAAATCTGTAGTGGGGGATGAGGCACAGAGTTGTGTTCTCTAACAGTAGCTTGCTTGTTATAGCTCTTATGTGTAGAATATTAAGCAGTGTGCATTTCGGTCTGCCACAGTATCTGTTTTGATACTATTCCTGAACTGAAGAAAAGGGAATCAAAAGGCAAGTTTAAACAATATAAAATATTGCCAGTGCCTGGAAGGGGGCAGTAGTCACCAGCACTTCTGATTTGTGTCCATGAGTCCCCTTACTTCTTACTGCCAATAATGCTTTCGCCTAAGTAGGACCCAAAACACCCACTTGATATTTTCTATTCCATAAAGACTACTCTGTTTCTGATTGGCTGGTGTTTGTTTCTTTCGTTGCAGAGGTTGGTTAGGTTTAGGCAAAAGGATTGAGATGGGTAGGCTTAGAAAAACCTGCCATGGTCAGAGCCAATAAGAGGTAGAGGGGCAGGTCACTAGCTTAAAGCTGAGACAACAGGGCTGAAAATGTCCTTATTTAAAAACACCAAAATAATATGGGTATGTTGTGGTTAGGGTTGTGCTGAATTAGGGTAACTTTCACCAAAGTTTTCGCTGTTGGACTGCATTTTCCCCCAAACAAACACACACTTACACACGGATGGCAACGACCTACCACGCAAAGCACAGGCCTAACCATCAGTATCAACTGGGGCTCTGTGTCTTCCTTAAGGACACCTGCACATACAAATAAGGAGTCGGGGATCGAGCTGGCAATCCTGCGATTCATGGACAACCTCCTCACATAGTGGAAGTTTTGGTTCAAATATTCCTTCTGGTTTATGTTTAGTATACCTTGAATATCAAGTATGTGGATTGGTGACTGACATTGTAAAGTGCTTTGGTATAAAATCCCTACATACTGTAAATGCACAACAACTTATTATTAATGTCAAAAATGGCCCATTTTGCTTTATCATTGCAGGTGTGATTATATACTTGGCATTTTAATGCGTTTTCTAAAAAAAAAAAAAAATCCTCAAAACACATGGGGAAGGTGTTTTGCAGCAGTAGTATACAATATCACCTTAATGTATATTGAAAACTATGACGATCATACATTTATTGCAGTCAAGCAAAGAAATTAAAATGTAAGTTGGGGGATGGTCTGTGATTGAGGCTGCTGTCGGAGCTGCTGAGGGAACAGAGACGTTAGGAGAGAAAGCCACGATCATCATCATCCATTAATCTGAGTATTTAAAAGGGACCCGCCGGACTCCCAGAAAAATGTTCAAATTAATACTCAGCCAGCAGCCCGCCTCTCCCTGCTAATGAGCAAAGGATGAGACTATTGATTTCTCCGACAGGGTGTGTGTGTCTGTGTGTGTCTGAGCGTGTGGGACAGTGTGTGTGTGTGTGTGTGTGAAGCAGACAAAAACAAAACATACGTGACAATGTCTCGTCACGGCTTTGTCTCAGTTATTACCTCGCTTATGGTGCCGGGGGCGAGGTACATCTTAATGACAAACATGATTGGGATCCAGATGACAGAGCAGATGACCATGAGCCAGCCCATAACCATGGACCAGGTGGGGTAGGTGTAGTCCTCGTAGGTCATCCCCTTCCACTGGTACAGACTCAGTACCAGGATGCCCTGCACAGACCAGTGAATCAATGAAACATACGTTACATTAGGCTGTTTTCATATTAGGCATGAATGCTCCGTACCATGCCTGAGTATGCCTTCCAGTGGAGCGATTACATTGACAGACAGCTGAAGAGAAAACGCCGATTACATGAATAATGATCAAAAGAAATCACTAACAAAGAGGTAAGAATTTATTTTTGAAATAGCAGCCAACTTCCAGGTTCTGTTAATGTTGTTTTCACACCTGATGTGTAGCCGAGTACACATGAACTGTATTCAAGGCCTCTTATTCAAGTGGACCGTGCCTGAGTTCTGGTACACAATGAACTGGATTTTGGGGTCAAGTATAGTAATCTGTGTGAAATCCTCCTAAGATCCTAAGACTACTGCCGCATTGGTAAAAAAAACAACTGTAAATCTTATAACAATGGCCCAAATTTGCAGTTTTTTGACTGCTGCCGTAGTTGTTCAACTGTGTAATGCTTTTCTGCATTAACAAGGACTGAACAGCAGATTTCTTCCCAATTAACTGCACTGAACTCAGGACACATAGCCAAAGCTGTGTCCACTGTTCCTTATAAAAGAGGATGGATGAGCTTCCTTTTTAGTATATGAGCAGTGAGCAGCAGTGAGGGACAGAGTAGAAACAAATTCTACCTCCATTCTACAGAAAATTTGGCTGTGAAGGACTAGAATAAGACGAAGGAGTGGAAAACAAACAAAAAAAGGAAGGCAGACAGAAATAGATTAGCCTGGGGTTGCGCATCAATGAGCTCCCAGAGGAAATCTGATCTCCCTCGAGAGCAGCGGGATGACCAGCCGGCCCAAATGTTGCTCCATTTGTCATCGTCACCTCTGCTTTGGAGCTACAGTGGTTTCCATTACAATTACCAACATTAATGCTGGCCACTGTCCAACACTGACATGCTGGTAAACACTGTTCATTGGAATTTACAGCTTCTGCTACACCGCATATGACAAATAAGTGGCCATTCTACAGGAAGTATGCTATGGAAATGAATGTGCGTTTGCAGCAGCTGAACTCGTGCCACACTAGCTATTTTCGAAAAACACAAACAACTTGAGACTCTGTGACATGACAGGAATTAGTAGGGGGGAAATCATTTTCGATTTCACTGTAACAGGAGCAATTTCTCCCTCCTCTTCCTTTCCAATTGCAAATCAATGAACTTTAAAAGCAGCAGCGGAAATGGCAACATTTTAAGCCGGACATGTCACTGTGTGCCTGAGAGAATGAGCTGAGCAAAAAATAAACACACCGTCAGAATGGTTGGAGTCACAAAGGCCCAGCAGATTCTCCAGAATCGGTTTGGCTGGAAACCAATCATCATTTCAATGTCCTCGCAAAACCTCTGCAGACCTGCAGATATATAAAAAAAAAAGCAAAGAGAAGAGAAATAAAATAAAAGAAGAGCAATGGGAGAAAGTCAGAAAGAGAACACACAGAGAGTGACCTGGGTTTAATAAGGTCCGTTACAAAAAAAGAGGACCAGCAAATTCAATCCATCCCTGTGTGTGTGTGTGTGTGTGTGTGAGAGAGAGAGAGAGAGAGAGAGAGAGAGAGAGAGAGATCAGTTTCTGTCGTCCTTGAGAGAAATCGGGGGAGCAGATGGCTTCATTCCTCTGCCTTTATTGACGGATAACAGTGAGTGACATGAAGAGGCAGAGTCACACAATCATTTCAATATGTCACCTGTACTGATGCTTTGACAAACTGGAGGAGAGCCGTTTGCTTTGCTCCTTGGTAACAGCCTCCTGACACACACCTGAGCTCTCTGCCTGTGTGTGTGTGACTTATACATTACAACAGAGACACCTAGTGGCCTTGGCTAGAACATACAGAGAAAGGGAGGCGAGAGCTATTGTCCAACATGAAGGACCAATACATGATCAGCCCCTTTTACACATAGGCAAAGATAAGATACCAAAACCTCTCTGACCGTTCTCTCTGAACAGTTTAGGTGTTTCAAATGTTTTTGTATCGAAGCTACAGCAGCTGGTTTAATGAGTTTGAAAGAAAGATCATTGGATTTGACACTTTTTACACCCTAAAACACAAAAATTCAGTGTTTCATACAGATGAAACACGATTCAAATCCTTATGGGACACTAAAACTCTCAGCAAAAACCCAGACTGATTATAGTATTTTAGGTTTAGCAAATTGTTAACGGGCCACTACTCATAGGGAGCCTGTGAAAACATTGCTGTAATATCTTCTGTGGCTCTGGAGGATGAATGTCAAGTCTGAGAAAATTATTCTCACTGGGGTATCTCAGTTTTGGGCTTGGAAACTACACATTTTTAACAGAGAGTCTGAGTCACAAATTGTGTGTATGGACTTTAAAAGATACTGGCATTTACTAGGCATTAAGGGTCTGACAAAATATGCTATGGAGCTGCTGCATATGGGGAGTGTAGGATGTTGTGTTTTTTAAGCCTGACCCATACAAGGGACTAAAAGTCAGAATATATAAACCTTGATGCCCCCCAACCTTGTCAATTGGGATAAAAATTTTAAAGATAATTGATTCCTATCTGAATAAAGAATTTAAACCAGAAAGGTTGTAGCTGTAGCTGTATTCAGGGACATCAGCAACGGTGTAATGGATGTTATGATATGTGATATTTAATTTTTTAATTTAATTTAATTCAAAGATGGAGATGTAGGTCAGTGAGTCAATACAATATTTTGGTCCTTAACGAGATATGCTGACAAAAACTAACCAGATTACTATGAGTTTGGTATGAGCATCCATGATCCCTGGAGTATGAATCCTAATGATTTTGGTGTCTTTGAGTTTCTTTCAGCGCCACTATCAGTCTCAATTTTCCCTTTGTCCAAGACTTTAATTCATGACAGTGTCTTGAAAGCAAATAGCCACATTTACATGGTTTGCTATAGATATTAATGATACCCAGAGGATTATTCCTAATATTCATGACTCTCTGACCTCTCCTCTAGTGCCACCATCAGGCCGACATTTCCAGCTCTACATAAAAGAATCTACATCGAATGGCAGATTATTATGCAATTTACTGAATACATCTGTACTTTCTGCAAGATGAACCTAGATTAGAAAGTATTTGTTCTTAAAATCTGTGTATTTTTTTTATATTTTATATAACTTAAGCTGCATTCACTGTCATTTACTGTTGGTGTTTAAGGTCAGTTGCAAACCAATTTTATTTTGGGATGAAAAGTCAAGTTTGCACACACTACATCCCATGAACTAAAAGGAAAGAATACGAAGTAATTTACTGAGCACATTCCTCAGAGAAATAAGTGGTAATTTAACACCCCCTGATAATCTTGTCTTTGCTGACCTCCAGTGGTTTATCTTTGCACTTGCTGCAGTGATGGACAGGTGTACTCCAGGACACTGTGACATCACTGTTGAGTGATGCTGGGTGTGAACAGAGTTTAAAAAAAAAAAAACAACTTCCCTCTAATGTCAGCTTCAGGACTCCTGCAAGAACAAAACTATCTCTGTGTTGTTTGTTCATTTTATTATTGTGGGATGTATCTAACATTACGGCCTGTAGTGGCCACTAGCAGGGTTTCAGACGTTCATTCTCATTGGTCAAAGGGCATGAGATAAAACAGGATCAGCCTTACTCACCATAGAGGTAGGAAATCCCCACCAGCTCGCAGATAGCAATGATGACCAAAGAGTAGGAGGCTGCGAATGTGTCCACCAGCTGCAGCATGAACATCCCACTCTGTCACAAACACACACATACGAACAAATTATATACAAATACCAAGGCTTTGTCTTACCCTGCCCTCTTCCCTCACATTGTGACTTCTGACTTGTAAATGGTCTTAACTTTTCACACTGACTTGTACCGGATCATAAGAAATGAAATGTATGAATCCTACTTTCGGCTGTATTTTGCCCTCTGAAGCTGTCTGGGGGGATTTTAATAAGACTCAGCTTCTCTTGTTCCACTCACTGAGCCTGTCCTCTGAAGGCCGCGACTTCACTTTACATGCAGAAAACTGTCGGCTTACTCAAAGAAAGAGTCGCAGGGCGTGGGGAGAATGCCCGAGCGTTCCTGCTTTGTGGCATCAGTGATAGGTAGATGTCTGTTTTTTTGTGTCCGTGTCGTACCTCTGTGATCATGGGAAATCCCAGGATGAAGAAGGAAGCACAGCAGACCAGGGTGAAGAGCGGTTTGTGTTTCCTCAAGTATTTGGGGAACTCGTCTGACACGGAGGTTACGATGGTCTCAATGGTAGCAAACTGGGACACAGATGAGTGTGAGGAAAGAAAAATGAGCAGAGAAAAAATAGATGAGAGGGGAGAGAAGGAAGTTTAGTTGTTTAGTCATATGTATGATGATCATCTAATCATATCTAATCAAGACATTGCTCAAGTTTGATTCTGCCTGGAAAAACACCAGGAATTCAATTTAAGTCTGTTAAATGAAGGGTTATCAAAAAAGTCTACATGTAGGGCTTCAGGCTAACTCTAAAAAAACAGCCCCAGCAGATCCTGATTCACTGTCTCCACTACAGAATTACTGAAAATTGTCCAATCAGGGCAGGTTTACTGCAGCGTTTCAATTGAAAAAGCCTCCAGTCAGCAGGTTTACCTCTTCTGAATCAGAGCAGCTGCTGCTGTCAGAAATCAGCATCCAGTGCTGTGAGGCGTTCATCTTCAATTCATCCAATAAACACATTTTTACTGTAATTTCATTTATTTCCAAAACAAATAAAAGACATTATCCTAATCACGAGCAGGAGAAGATTTGTAAACAAATCAGTATTAAGAATTTAGATTACAATGGAGAGAGCTGACAGGTGGTGTCTGTCTGGAGATTAGCAAATGTAACATGACGGTGAAAAGGGGCTCAGAACCCAGAGGACAGCAGTGGAATATACAAACAGGCAAATTGCGGGAGGTTGGTAGAGTGTGTGTGTGTGTATGCATGCTGTAGAAAACACGTTGGCAGCGAGCTATCTGCCACTTCTCCACTCCTCTCCTTCCTCCTGAGCTCCCAAAACTAATTTCCCGTCAACATCCCAAGCCTATTACCGCCGAGCTGCTTTCTACAACAAAGCCACCAGCCCTCTCCTCTGAGCTGCCGCCGCCAAGGCAAAGTAACATCATCATTTACTGTTGCTGTTGACTTGTGTCTTAATGTGCCACTGTGCCCTCTGCTCCTCTGCTCGGCCCAGAAGCATCACGGTGCACTTGAAGAAGTTGGCGTTTCAGATGGAATTGTTTGCTCAGTATTGCAGCTGGAGACGCTCTGGACTTAGAAAACCATCCCGGAGACTGAAGGGTTTGTTCACTGAGGTTAAACGAGGAATGAATCAGCGCAGTGACTGACACAATTAGAGTTTTGTAACTTACAGTAGAAGTATTGTGGTGCATGAGTTGTACTGTCACTCAGACAGTCGAGTTCAGCAAAACAAGCTGAATGTGCAATATTGAGTAATTATGGCAAATGTATTAGCACAACATCCAGCAGACACAGAGCAACATGATCACTCATTCTGTGTTTGTGGTGGCCTGATGAGTGTAAGTTCAATATTCACTCTCTTATTAGCTCCAATTTGCCGTCCACCAATTCCTGTGGGAAATCTCTTTAGCAGCTAAATGCTTTTGCTGAATACAGAACTGCATGTTGCTGAAAACCAAGGTTGATGAGAGCAGCATTTACGGTAAAACATTAAAGGGAACAGGTTTCTAGTAACTCTCTGTGAGTTAAACTATTTCCAAATGTACACTGTAAATGAATATAAATTGTGTACCGAATATGACACAGACACAGAACTAAAGTTCAGAAGTTTCTCCTTTTTAAATGTAATAAAATTTGATTGTACTTAGACTTAGATTTACTCCAGTGCTGTTCCAAAACTTTAAGGTCAACTTAATTCCACTCACTCCAATCACACAGACCCCCTTCTGCTCAAGTACCCGGAGAGCTCGAGCACTTGAAATCAGTCACAGTGGGTGGTATGTATGGGTAATTATGTTAATTGGGTCAATGTGTGCAGCATTTATACATAGCTGGATGGCGCTACCAAAGTTCAGTCTTGACTTTAGAGCAAACAGATGACTATCATTACTGATATAAAGACTGCTGATGTTTTGATACTTAGAGATCTTCTCTTCTCCGACAGAAACACAGGCTGTTTGATGTTGCAGCCACAACAGAAAATAATGTTTTCTCATAAACCAACATCCAAAAAATGGCAGAATTTACAGAAATGCTTTTAGAAATACAGAACACTGATGCTCATATGAATCATAAATTCACTGACTACATATATTAATTAATTTATATATATATCAATTCCCTTACTGTGAAATCCTATCTTTAGAGGTCCAATTATGAATATTTTTTATATTAACACTGAATCAATTAACTATGCGTAATGTGAAAGGGGTTGTTTGCAGTGAAGGAGCCACAGAGAATTATCACCAACTCTGCAGCTTCGTTTTCAGCCTCTGTCGTTGTTTCGGTTCAGTCTCAGAATTCAGCCGCACTCCCCACAGCATCAGGCAGCTGTTTCTGAGGAAAAATGCCCCGATAATCACACTGCCTGCCCAGCACCACACAACAGACAAAGTTAGAGACTAGCTGGTGAAGAAAGTGGAACATGTAGCAACTAAAGAGACAGATACCGGAGCTAAAACAAGAGTGAATGTTATATTTCTATTCACCAGGCAGACAGAAACTTGACTCCGATGGGATAGTATGTCGCCCAGTGTTTGCAGGATGTGTTTTACAGGTTTGACAAACCGTTGTGGTGTTCTTGTGCCCCCCAAGTGGCCCAAAAAAATCTACATTTTTGGAAACAGATTTGTTTACTTGTCTTGAGTCCACCAAAGAGGTAGGTCAGGTTTTAGCCTGAAAGCTGGAGGTACCTGTTAGTCTAGCTCAATCAATAAATACACCCTCCAACAACTCTTAATACTGTCTTACATGTTTGTTTTATTTTTTATATGTGTTGAAGGAAGAAAATGGGGATTGAGCATTAGCGCATAAGCTATTTCTTCACAAACAACAACACAACACACAACTATTATACAACTTTAGAGTTGTGGAGAGGAGTTTTTTAACAGAGTCTAAATGTCAGACTGTGTCTTTGAACCTGGCACTTACTGAAGAACTCCAGAATATTATTACTCTGGAAGATTTTCTTCATCTGTATTATGAGGACATATAAGCCTCATAAGTATAGACTTATGACAACACACACACACACACACACACACACACACATTGAAGGAGCAGTGGTTACCATGGTATCGAGGCCAAGAGTCAGGAGCATGAGGAAGAAGATGATCGCCCAGAAAGGAGACAGTGGAAGTCGGGTCAGAGCCTCTGGATACACCACAAACGCTATGCCTGGACCTGACACATGGATACACGGACACACACACACACACGCACACACACACACACACACACACACACACACACACACACACACACACACACACACACACACACACACATATGAGGATGCACACACACTTTCTCCACAGCAGATAAGAAGATTCAACTTGTTCAGTTGGGTTTTAGTGAGCAGCGCCGGCCTGTTGCTGCTGCCTGCTGGTTTAGGTATCTTACCTTCATCTGCCACCTTCTCTATCGGCACTTTCAACTCATGTGCCATGAAACCAATGACCGAGAAGATGACAAACCCAGCAAATATACTGGTGGCACTGTTTGTACATGTCACAATAATTGTATCCCTACGGAGAAAAAGAGGAAAGAGAGAGACAGAGGCTGAATAAGCAAATATCTGCTATAGCGACTGAAATATTCAAAACATGCTACACATAACAAGTAATATATTATATAATAATGCTCTTAAATTTGATTAAAGATCACTGTGTTCTGTACACACAGATAAGAGATGCCTTTGGCGCCCTCTGGTGGCAGGAATAAATACTCTGCAAATAGAGGGCTCTAAAGAGTGTTAGGCATTTACACAAGGTGTACACAAGGGGGTGTAGTGCTTTATACTGTAAAATGTGTCTGTTATTTTGTCCTAGTCCAACAAATTGACTTTATTTAATATTCAGACAGGGCGGTTGTGTTTGAGGCGTGTGTGTGTTCTCAGATCCTTCATTTGCTGAGTTGTGTCTGCGTGAAAAACATGTTTCTGCAAACCACAATACATTACAATATTCTTTAAATGTATTAATGAAAGAAACACTGAACTGCTGGCTGCAAAGAGTGTCATTTATTACTGACAATTCTATCAGACATACAGATACAGTGTCATGTGTCTATTGTGCCAGAAGCATGGTTTACCTTTTGTGTGTTTACCTGTAGCAGTTATTGTGGAACTTATTGTAGGAAGAGAGAGTGATGAGGCCTCCCCAAGCAGCCGACAGAGAGAAGAAGATCTGAGTGGCTGCGTCTTTCCACACCTGACGGAGGAAGAGAGGAAGAGCTGCAGGTAAAGAGCGGGGAAAGAGACAAACGGTGCAAAAACAGCTGAATTAAACGAGCAGGCGTCAGGTACCTTCGCATCGTTCAGTTTCTCCCACTTTGGTGTGATAAAGTAGAGGATGCCGTCGAAGGCACCAGGGAGGGTCACTCCTCTGATCAGCAGGATGACCAGCACCACATAGGGAAATGTGGCTGTGAAATAAACCACCTGAGCAGAGGGGGGACAAGAAAAAGAGAGAATGGCATTAAAAAATGTGATATCTAAAGATAATATAGTGGAAATAGGAGGTCTGCGAAAGGAGACTATTCTTCTTATTTAGAGTTTTCTGCAATGTATGCAATTTTCATTTTAGTGTCAAACCTAAACTTAATCTAGCTATTACAAAAAATGGATGGTTGGATGTTGAAAGCTTCACTGTGCAGAATGATGTATGTGCAGAGTTTGACACCAGAAGGATGGTTTCAGATTAATTTTCTGAAAGTGGAACATTTCTCTGCACAGAAAATCTGATTGTTAAGGGGTCTACGAGGATAATTTGTGACATGACAAACAATTTGGGTTGAAGTCATTCCTGGTCTAGTTTGCAACATCAAGTGTGATATAGAAACTGAGGCCACCAGTGCACATACACATAGATACAAATGGACTTTGGAAATGAACTTAATTAGCATATTCGTAGATTCTGGAAAAAATAGAAGGAGTAGACTTTTTAAGGTTTTAAATGTGGAAATGATCATTTTTTCCAGAAAAAAACAAATCACACAAACTATTTGTAACGTGTTAATGTATGTCTGGAGGGGATCTTTAAGTTTCTAAGGCAAAATATTTTTTGTCAGTTGATTAAAACAAACCTGTAATACAAGAAAGAATCAAATTTCTACAATCCTTCTCACAGCCACATTGTCTTCCAGGTTTCATTTTCCCACATAATATAAATCATAATATAAAGCAAATGTGAGGTTCCAGAGCGTCTGTCCTTAATGCATCAACTGCAGCTGCATTACAATGTAATGAGAAACCTTAGCCACAAACAACCTAAAATTTCAATTTGTGCCATCACTTAAGAGTCTAAATTATAACAGTGCCAACTGAGATCTCTGAATGTTGCCACAGTGTATGTCACATCTGTGTCCAGTAGAGGGCAACATTATACAAGAATTCAATCTGAATAAGCTCTAAAGTCTAGGGACAATCAGTGCAATGTAAAATGTTTCCTTCTGCATGCTGTCCTTGCATGTTGGGAGGAAAATAGATGTCCAAAATTCTTCGTAAAGTGTATCCCACAATCCACTGCAACTCAAAATCACTCTGGAGAGATGCTGTGGGTGTGCTCAAGACACCATGTCCACTTCTTCATGCACTCAGCAATTATAAGTTTTAAAAAAGTGATAAATAACTATATTTAAGAATATAAAACCCAAAGGTGGACATGCCAAGAAATACGAACAGATCAAAGATTACAAAGCTACGAGAACTGAACCCCAGGCCACAACAAGATCTGTTCAAATTAAAATATGAGTTAAGATTGTTTTTTTTGTTTTTTTCAGGGGTTTGTGTGTTTTCTTACCTTTCCTGATGACTTGATTCCTTTGGCTAAAGAGGCGTAGACAATAAACCAGGCCAGGAGCAGACAGCCTGCCAGAGGCCAGCGGATGTCTCCTGGATATTCAATTCCTTTAGAGATGTGCAACACATTGTACCTGCAGGTGTGAATCAAACAGCAAAGTTTTCAGTCTGAAAGAAAATTTAAATAAACTAAATATACATAAAAAGCAATGTAGATTAGATATAAATCTGTACACTGCAAGTTTTTTTTTTTTTTTTTACAAATGTTTTAATTCTTGTGTATTACTTTTCCTACAAGTCTTAATTTCCCTTTTGAGAAAGTAAGGCAGTAAGATTATTTCAACACAAATCATCTTCATTCAAGAATTTATATATAATAAAGTCTCACATGTTGTATTTGTTTTGTATTTTGTACTGTAGTTGTGGTACTTGCACTAAGAAATAATCTGTAAACGTTCACTGCAGCGGCAGATTTTACACTTTAAGAAAAGGGTACATTGGTGATTTAAATTCAAAGATTTATTGGTCCTCTTCTACACCAAAAATGTAGAGTGTGGTTCTGTGAAACCCTTTCAAGAGGGCAAATTTAAAAACTATTATCATTATGAAGAAATCTGCTCTCAGTGCCTGTAAACCCTTTTTGCTGCTGCCCGATGATGCTGTTTTGAAGGCCCTAGAAAGCCAAACATCTGCATGAGAAGACTGAGAAAAATATCAGATTTTTATTCCTCACTTCTGGACAAAAAAATCCCTAAAAATTAGACCAAACTGCTCAGGTCAAATGTTTGTTTCTATTAAGCTTAAATTCTACTTTAAACAGTGTTTAATGATGCACTCACTTGAAGTACTCCTCACTGGGGCTGACATATGTCTTGTTGCCGTCCACAGTCATGTTTATCAGTTTGCTCAGATTTCCCACAGCATTCGCAGACAGACAGAACGTGGAGTTCTTGATGGAGGTGATGTTTCTGTCCCGCAGGATGCACGTGTCTGTTCCAATCAGAAACCAACACACGTCAACTGGGAGAGACTGTCAGAGTGCTGCTGTGGGACAGAGCTTACTGTCCACTCAGGTTTCCACACGGAAAGTAAAGTGGGAGCGAACAGATGGGCCTGATTTTGAGAAAGGAGGACTGACAGGAGGCTGATCCTCAGCGAGAACTGGACCCAACTAAGATTTTGATTCTTTTTTTGATATTCAGCCAACAGAGACACTGAATCTGTGCCTTGTTTCAGATACGAGGGGAAAGGAAAGATAAGAAAACCTGCTTTGCTTTTGACTGCACAATTTTTCATGCAGACAGTTCAGACAAATTGTGCAGACGAAATTGCTTTTTATGCTTTTATTTTTTAAATCCTGCTGAATTCATATAAAATGCAGACCGTGTATATAGTATATATATATGTAATGTGAGAATTTCTTTTTCTAAATTCAAGACAAAATACTGACTAAAACGAATAACGAGAATAACGAGAATAACTCCCTGCAAATCACCTTTAACTAAACAATAACTCAACCACTCAGGTAGCAGAGAAAGAGTTTTCTGAAACTAGATAGGATGGAGAAAAATAGCACAAACCAATGAACCTTATCCAAACAAAAAATAATACTGTCCACCTCCATCTGCATCTTTTTGACACAACAATTTGAAAATGATAAACTCAAAGTATTTGTAATTTTTGCAGAGCTATCAGTGTGCTTGGTCCACCCCACTACATAGAGGATGTATTCATACATTACAGGTTAAATCATTTATATAATATTTATGACTTTATGAATCATTTATTTAAATTATAAGCTACCTTAATGCTTTTCTTTTTGACAATCTTTCTGTTATCGTCCTCATTGACGAGATTGAGAGAGTGGTAGAGAGACTACAGTGTTGAAGGGCCCCTGCAGTGCGTGAGGCAGCCAGCAGGGGTCAGTCTCGGGCTCACTGCAGCACTGCAGCAGCACAGCCAGTACAGTAAATTTGTCAAGCAAGCAGTTTTTTGTGCTGAATTCACAGAATCGCTAAAGGCAAATATTCTACGAAATGAACGGAATTTCGATATTTATTCGACGCAGATCGACATCAGACACCCCCGTGGCCCCTCCCCGCACCTTTCCCCCTCAGTCACAACATGATTTAATCTACAGTTTCATTAAAAAAATCAGACCAAGACAGACTGCTTCAGCTGTATGCTGCAGCTTTAAAGCATAAAACAGAGCTATAATCTGACATTATCACACAAAGAAAGAATCGAGAATATCTGAATATATGTGTTTCTGTCCCACTGAGGGCCTCCTTTCACGGTGTTCGGCCTGTGCGATTAAAAATGGATCAAAGAGATGAAGTGAAGTGCTCTGAATTTAAAGTGTTTTTTTGAGAGTGAAAACACCGCAGAGATCACAGGTCAGGATTCATTATACTGCAGGACACCTCAGCTGAGGGAGTCATGACGCATTGCGCATTGTGGAGAGAGAGAGAGAGAGAGAGAGAGAGAGAGAGAGAGAGAGGGGTGCTTTTGGTGTGTGTGAGAGTGTGTGTGTGTGTGTGTGTGTGTGTGTGAGAGAGAGAGAGAGAGAGAGAGAGAGAGTGTGTGTGTGTGTGTGTGTGTGTGTGTGTGTGTGTGTGTGAAGGTGTGTGTCTTACCTAACAGCAGCATGTCTTTGTCCTTACATTCCACCGTGTTCCACTCATTCCTACAGTTAGCCCATGGCAGTGAGCCCTTCAACGAAGCGAACAGGTAGTACAGTGTCCAGCACATTATAATATTATAGTATATGGCTATCAAGACAGATATTATCAACATGGCAATCCCGCAACCTAAAATAAATAAATGAGACGAAATATATAAATTACTCTTAAGAAAAAGTAGAGAACTCGTGATGATAAGAAAATGAGTTTTATTTGTGAATATTTCTTTCATTTTCTTTTTTAGTGGATTAGTGTGTGGCAGTTTACCTTGCAGAGCTGGGATGCATTTCCACACTGAGACGGGCCCCTGGCTGGCGAACTGGCCCAGAGACACCTCCAGCAAAAAGATTGGGATTCCGGCAATGCCCAACATTGTCAGGTAGGGGATCAAAAACGCCCCTGCAAGGAAATTACACAGCAGGCTACAGGGAGCAGTTCAAGTAACATAAAACAGATTATTAAAAATTAAAATGGACATGAAGACATGGAGCTGCTCATCTGCTGATATTTCTTATTGATTAATGAATAAAAATCATCAGTTATCTGTAAATGTCTTCTAGCATAGCTGAACAAATTAAAGAATAAATAATAATAATAATAATAAATCTAAAGGACTATTAATGCTAGTATTAATATTAATAATATTATTAACGACTGTGGCCGTTTTCACAGCTTTAATAATGATGTAAAAACATTATTTAAGTGTATTTTTATTTATTTTATCTTTCCTTTTTTTTCTATGGAAATAATCACTGAACAAAATTCTCTCCTCTTTGCTTGTATTTTCTTTAATACGGTGTTTGTTCTCCTGGTTAAAGGCCTATGAGGATAAACTGGGCGACACATTGGAAGAACCACCTCAAGCAATAAGAAGATAATAATCAGAAATGTTCAAACCCTGACCCTAAAAAAAAAAGTGTAATTCGATTTTCTGAGCAGATTTTTCGTTTGTTTTCGGTGTCGGGAATTTAAAAGCATTGACCCAGAACTCTTACCTCCACCATTTTGGAAGGCGAGATAAGGGAACCTCCACACGTTCCCCAGTCCCACCGCATAGCCAACCATGGACAGAATAAAATCCATTTTATTGGACCAGTTTCCTCTGGCCTTATTCTCATCTCCCTCCTCGTCATCATCTTCTGCCTAAGAGGAGGGGGGGAAAGCATTCATTCATTCTCTAAAATAAAAACCTATTCACACCAGACTCCAAGTTAAACCATTAGGAGATTTAAAAAAGCACTGAGTCTGGGCCTGAATGAATTACAAGAAACAAAATGCATCACTGTTTTTAGAAAAAGTGAAAGTTACTAATATAAAGACACCCTAAAATATGTTTCTTAATTTAAAAATGCATCCTTTCGGTGCCTTAATATCACTGGATTTCTCCCCCTTGTTCATTTTGTTCACCATTACAGATGCGTTTGACGAGCACCAGCTTTCCAATAACAAGCCTGCATATATCTTCATCTCCAACTACACTTGCAGGCCCATTATCACCACCAAAGCACTTTAAATTACACCCTAAATCTCAGACTCAAGGATAAAAAAAACCAACCTGTAATGGCCCACCAATTTAAAAAAAAAGGCAACAAATATTAAGAAACATGCGTAATTACAGCTGCACCGCAGGATCTGAGCAAATACATAAAAGAAACTGCATGAATATTCAGACTCAAACAACACCATGCATGGGAATGTGTGTGTGTGTGTGTGTGTGTGTGTGTGTGTGTGTGTGTGAGGGGTGGTGGTGGGGGGGTTCCCTCTCGGGGATTGGAAACAATCCGCAGTCTCATGTAATACAGTGCTGCCTATCAGCCGGATAACACCTGGGCTTCTGGGCCATACCGAGAGAGAGGTGTGTGTGTGTGTGTGTGTGTGTGTGTGTGTGTGTGTGTGTGTGTGTGTGTGTGTGCTGGGAGCAGGGGAACGCCGAAAAGACCGCGAGAGTATGATTTAATCCTCGTTATCCTTAATCGTGTTAACGTTGTACCGGTGAGCAAAAATCAAGCAAGACAAATCACCGGAAATCGGTTGAGATCTAAAAGGACAAACAGTTTGGTTCAGATTAATGTTCCCTCTGCTCTGAACATCCATCACACTGATTTATACACAGTTACTACCCCCCCATCGGGTTGGTCCTCTCATATTCAGCTGACATAAGCGGGTTTGAAAGTTTGGATGGTGGACCGGGTTGGTGCAGACACATGGCTCACCATCCACCCAGAGTACCGATCAGCACCGGAGAGAACTCAACATATGAGGTTGGGGTACCCATGGTGGTCCACATTCATTAAGGTAAATGAACCACTGTTATGTGGCTTTATGGGAATCGTATTACAGCCTGAATGCAACAGAACACAGGCCGCTTTTTAAATAAGACTTATTATAAAAATAATAAACAATCTCTAATATTTTATGGCCTAAAATGATTAATCCTTCTAAAATCCGACTACCAAGCGACAAGCCTCCACTGATTCAGCTCGGAAGTTGTCGGGCTACACCTGAACACTTTGTAAGCACCATCTGTGCGGTGACCACAGCTCAGCCTCACAGGTTTCCCCTCTTTCCCTCCAGCACACACCGACACTGATCTACCGAGAGCGTCCAGGGGTTTGCACCGTCCCCTGTTCGGAGGCGGCAGGTTAATCCAGTGTGTGGGGACATCCACACCGGGACATCCGGACCGGGACATCCACACCGCACCTGCCTCCAAGCCGCTGCGCTCTCACACCTGCCCGCTCTCCGTTAAGGAAACGGTTCATTTAGCTGACTTACCCCCGTCACGGTGCCGGGCTGAACAGACGTGTGCCCATCTGTTCCCAGTATGATGGTGGTCTGGCTCATTGCCGTCCAGTTGCCCGCGGTGTTGTTCTGCTCCGCGGTGGCCCGGAGCGGGTCGCCGTACTGGGCGGACCCCCCGCGGGCCGAACCTACGGAATCCTTCCTGAAGGCCGAGTTGACGGCCACGGATCCAGGGACAGCCGGCGGGGTGTTTTTAAACGTCCCATACGCTTTATTGCTGTCCAGTTCTCCCGGTTTATTTTCCGTGGGACAAAAAGTTTTGCTCTCATTGGAGGGGGGCGGCGGCTGGGGCGCCGGGTGATGGTGAGGGGCGGGCGGCGGGCACGCAGCCGTGTTGTCCGGTTTGTTTGTTGTAAGTCCCGCAGCTCCGTCGGGCTGCTGCGTCGGGATGTAGCCGGTAGGAGCGCTGGCCGGCTGTTTGGCCATGTCTCTCTGGTCAGAGAAATCCTGGAACATGAGTGACAGATCAGCAAGACAAAAGGCAGCAGAGCGGCAGAAAGCGAGAAGCTGTGAGGCTGCTGCAGCCCATCTCTGCTTTGGGACTAAAAAATGCTCAATTCTCTCCCTGCAACGTTTTTCTGCAGCATGTTCTGGCTCTGGCTGCTCTATAGTTTCAGCTCACAGTCTACCGGGTGTGTGTGTGTATATGTGTGTGTGTGTGTGTGTGTGTGTGTGTGTGTCTGTGTCTGTGTGTGTTGGAGGGAGGGGGGTTGCTTTGCTTCTCCAGTTCTCGCTTTCTGCAAGATTCTTTAATTTTACGCCCCATTTCCCCCTCATGTCATTCAGCCACACATCCACTGATTTTTATGGGCAATAGACAAGCTGCTGCGGGTCTCTCGGTGGCTCTGCTCTCCCCGGCAGGCATGCGAGATCACCGGCGTTACAGCAGTGAGCGGACCCGGGGCGGCGGAATTACAAATGACTCCCTGAAATTTAGCTTTGAGGGGGGGGGGGGAAGCAACCGGAAAAGATCCAGTTTCTAAAAAAAAAAAAAAGGGTGATGGGGGTTTATTAAAAAAACTAAAACAACAACAGTTGATTGAGTAATGCTCAGTTGTGTTGTTAATTAGTGAGCAAAAGGAGCTGTACCTGGCTGTAAGAACCTGTTTAAAGAGAAAATTAAAAATGGTAAAAAAAAAAAAAAAAAAAATAGGAAAAGAGGTACAATGGAATAAAATTAAATCTTTTTCCCTCATTTAGACTTAAAAAAAAAAAAAAAGAGCACAGAGTCTTATGCAAGAGAAAAACAGCTAGATTGGTGACAGAATGAAGTGAAGAAAGTTTAGTTTAATGTGGAGCCGCAGCTGCAGTTCAGCACCACGGACAGCTTCAACCAGCCAAACTGAATTTAAAAAAAAAGTGTGAAATGAAAACGAAACCAGCTGCAGAAGAAGTTCCTAAAGCAAGAGGAAACCGCAGGTGGACAAAGTAAAGAAAGTGTTTTCGGACACTTACCATGTTTTTGCAGGTCTATGCTGGCAGGCTGGAAAAAACAGCTGTAAAAAGATGAGGAGAGGACTGGAAGCGGACTGGTTGTAGCCGCGCAAAGCACCAAGTGCAAAGCTTTTCTATAGCTCCGTGGGAAAGAGCGGAGTTTGCGTCAGTGCAGAGCAAGGTGCCCTTCCCGTGACATTTTCTTGATAATAGGAGTTTGATAAATCATTGGCCTTGGATTCGGATTTTTAAAGGGACAACCGGAGCCAAGACGACGGGGGAGCGTGTGTTACGTGCGTGAATTGTGTGCGTTCTAGTTACGCAAGGTGCATGCGTGAGCGCTGGACGGAATCTTTCAGAGCTGATTAATACACTTGTCTCTAGGGACGCGTGGGATACACACACACATGGACACATCCCACACGAGCACACACTGCTCGTTTTGGGACAAAGATTTCCAGGTTTGGGCTGTTATTGGAGAAGATCTAAACAGGGTGCATGCGGGTCGAAATAATGTTTGCACACTGCTGAGTCGGGGTTCTCTGGTACAGTTACAATTACAGTAGCCACTCATGGGAAAGAGAGATTTGTATTCCACAAGATTCTTTTAGTTTTATAGTAAAGTTAGCTCTTTTCCCGTCATCAACATTTAGGCCTGTAAAATGCAGAAACTAGACTTTAAAGGCAAAAGAAGAGTTTTATTTAAAGTTGTTATGTATTACAGACACGGCCGGTGTTCTTTATAAGTTATACATAGACATACCTTAAATATACACAGTTAAATGTAATTTTGAGAAGTTGTAAAAGTCAAATAGACTGTTAAAGACAATGTGCTAAAAATGGTGTGAACTATAAATAGTTTTTCCACTTGGCGGGTTTTACGCACGGCGCGCTCCAGGCTCTATACGTTCCTTCTTGCGTCACCGATATGAGCATTGATCAAGTAAAAAAAAAAAAAAAAAAGAAAAGAAAGTGGGCGAGGTCTTTATAAAGCTACTCATTTGTTAAAGTCTTACGCAAGAAGGAGGCCTTTTTTTTTCTTTTCTTCTTTAAATCACGTGTGTAAGGAGGAACCGGAGCCAACCACTGGAGCCCGGACTGGAAGCAGTGACAGTGGAGGGGGGGGGGTAAAAGGTGCCACACTGGAGAATCTAAAACACTGCATTGCGCATACTGTTGTCCAAGTCTCCCTTTAAACGGATAACGCATATGCTCGTCCTGTGTGTGTGTGTGTGTGTGTGTGTGTGTGTGTGTGTGGGAGTCATCCAAAAACAAACCAAAAAAAAAAAAGACACAAACGACTTCCTCCGTCTCAGAAACTGAGGATAACTAGTTCATTATAAACAGTTGTACGCTTAGGCCTCCGTACAGTAGAGCACCACATAGTGATGGGTGGAGGAGCTGAAGCCTAAACACACACAGGCACATAGGCTATACATAAAAGACACACTTACATCAACACACACACACACACACACACACACACACACGGGAGGGGAAATTGATTTCGTGTAAAATATTTAATCTTTGTTTAACACTGAAACATTTTTGCGTCGTAAAGCTCCCTGGCTCTGGCCCCTGGCCCCTCTGCTCAGACTGATTGAGTCAGACCGGTTGCACGCTGATCTGACAGTCCAATTATAAACGTGTTAACGAAAAATAACCACCGTCGTTGTGCGTCGTTGCTTAGCAACCACGTTGTTTTTTTTAGCTACTGCTCCAGAACCGGTAATAAAGCCGGACGGGACGTAGCCTATAGGACAGACAGACCTAGAATATTAAAGAGAATAATGATATAATAAAAACAGTAACAATAATAATAATAATAATAATAATAATAATAATAATAATAATAATAATAATAAAGACATATTGCCTTGCAGAATGTATACATTTTCATACTAATGTATACCTCATTATCCAATTTAATGTAGCCTATCTTTTCATTCTTCATTAAATGGCTAAAATCGTTAGGCTAAGGCAGAAACATTGCCTAACAATAAGACCTAGCTAGGCTACACTATCATTACTAAATATATATATATATATATATATATATTTTTTTTTTTTTATCGTAGTTTTGGGCTATTTTAACACACTTTATCACCCCACAGGCCTGTCTTATAATAAACCAACAAACTAGTTTTTTTCAGGCTCATTATCATAATGTGTGAAGTTGTCTAATGGATGTCCTGTTTTTAACCCGCGCTGGTTTCAGGACAGCTGAGTGGGGGTTTGAGTCTGTGGTCCCGGTCCGGGGCCCGCTGGGATCCCTGTGGTCCCGGTCCGGGGCCGCTCACTCACTCTGCGCGCTGCGCTCCCTCCGCCTGTAAATCTCCGTCCCTTCCAGATAAGAGGCTGGAGCGGGTGTATTAGCCGCCGCCTTGACTTTAATTACATTGTCAACAGAGAATAATTGTAATTGATTTCTGCTCGTCTTCCGGAGTCCGCTGAACGCACGGATTGCCAGCGCCACACACACACACACACACACACATATCATGCCAACGCATCTAGTTTTGACTCTCATGGGGATGTTACATTCACAGAGAGTAGCAGAACATGGTTCGCAGAGCTTTACGCAGCAACACGAAGATCACGTGTATCACAGGAACCTTTAGATCCGTTTCACCAAGACTCTGCAGCACAATGCAGGACGGAGATAAACATCTGTAAAGGATTCTTAAAGCGGTTCTGCTGGATTTTGGTTTCTTACTTTGGATTATTTTTATAAAGACAGAGACTCTATCTTTGGCATCGCAAATAAAAATAAAATATATAGGCTATATCATTTTTATTTGTGTGTAAACCAGACTAAATCCTGATCTAGGGGCTGAACTAACCGCCTCGCGCAGGGCTTTCTGGGTGTCTCATTAATTACACAAGCTCGTGTAATTAATTGATCACTCCCACTGTCGCCTGGGTGATAAGAAGCCGCATCCATCTGAAGCGCCTGAACAGCAGTGATTCAACGGAGGAGGTCATCCAGAGGGCCAGGGCTCCCATCATCATCATCATCATCATCATCACCACCATCAGTCCTGGCTGTCGGAGCCTTCACACTTGTCTTAATTGCTAATAATAATGGCTGCTATTGGATGGTGTCTGGTCCGTTCATGCAACTGTTTTGTTTTAAAATAAGAGTTTAATGAAAATTCCTGCATCCTTGTGGGTTTTCTTTCTCAGTTTAGGTTACAACTAAGATGTTCTGAGGAGGCCAATATGGTTCAGAGAAAAACCCCTAAATAAATGTGCTGTGGATTCGGTGCAAACTACTAATCTAAAAACATATTACCTGGATCTGTTTGCAATCAGGGTTACAAAAAAAAAAAATGCTGTAAATATTTCAGACGTTTTATTTGATAAATGAGAATAATGTTCCTTAATGCTTAAGCTATGACATAGATATGAAAATGGGTTGGCTTATTAAAAGCACAGCACAAAATAAAGTTTCAGTCTGAATTGGTGGGGGTTATATCAAAAGGACACCAGGCAACGGTTAAACAGGATGGTGCTGCAGTATACTGAGCAGGTTAAGGCTTTCAAAAAGTCTGTGTAGATTCATCTCACTCATCCAGGTAGAACAACATCAGCTGGAAAATGAAACTATTCAACGGACCGTGGCTGAAGAGTTGACAAGAAATATAAGATACCACTACAGTCCAGGGGATAGTTTCACTTCAAGCCAACTTTCAAAAACATGCACACATCTTTTCGTGCACAGCCTTGCACTTGTGAGCATATGCCCTATTTGATGTCAGCACGCAGACCAGACTGTATTAATATAATGGCAGAAAGGACACAGAAGCAGTAGAAATACATCAGAAGAGGGTGACTGTCAAATCACCAATGAGACAGGCAGCCAGCCCCACTGTCTGCTCCTCCTCCTCACAGATGACTACACTTTCTCAGAGTCTGGGATTCATCATCTCAGGCGGAGAAGGAAGGAAAAAATCTTTAATTGTAAGCAGAGCTGTTCAATGAAGTATGTAAAGAGGCTTCAGTCAGCCTTTTTTAAAGCTTAAATTCATTTCGCATTGTCCCAGTAAACTCACGGAAGATGGATGATGCCCCCGGTGAGATCTCACGCAGCTCAAAGTAGGACAATAAGCAGGAGAATATAGAGGGAAATTAAGAGAAATACTTGGCTCTTTAACAAAGAGCTGGCAGCCAGTTCCTCTTTGTGTTTTTTCTTTTGTTGGACATTTTGATCAGGCAGGGACACGTGCGAGTAACAGTGCATGACGAGAGTGGTCCATGCAGGCCTGAACACATTTAAGGTTAAAACTGGGCTGTTTTTCAGTCACACATTACTGTTTCCAACATTTATATAACTGCACTTAAATGTGTAATTGGGACATGCTTCTCATTGAAACAACAACAACAATACAAGGATTATATGTAACCTAGACATACACAAATTTGGCCATTTGAGCTGCAAACCAATACATACTGAGGTTTAATCATGTTGCTATATGCTTAATAAAACACACTCACAGGGAGAAAATCTCATTTTTTTATTACAAGGCACAGAAACAATCCTTACATCACAAAACCAAGAGTTCAATTCCACCCTGCTCCCACACGCTGTGAATGCATGGATGGTCAATAAAAAAAAAAGTGGGCTATGTTTTCTGGATGTTGTACCACGTCACGGCGGAGGCTACTGCAGGCTGTAAGTCTGCTTCCTGTCTCGGAGGTCAAAGGTGACCAACAGTGAGCGAGGGTCCTTCTTGTTTTTACGCACAGTGATTTTCCCCCGGAGCTCCTCCCCTGAAGAAAAGAGCAATAAAAGAGAGAGAAACACCAATATCAATGCACAATTTGTTTCACATTGGAGACAGGTAGCCACTTCACTGGAGAGTCCCTCCTCCTCCTCCTCCTCCTCCTCCTCCTCCTCCTGCTCTGTGTTTGAAGGTGTGATAATCAATGAAACCAGCTGCTGTGGGGTTTAGTTCTGGGGTTTTGGCACACAGTCACCCATCTCTGCTGTGTCTAAACGTTCACTTTGAACAAGAGGTGGGAATTTGGTTCAGCTAGAAAGAAACATTAGTCACAAGCTTATAAAAGATTATTTTAAGTTAATTCTCACGCCATAGTTTCTTCACTCAATACTTTCTGACTGTCCAAGCCTATCTGCGGCTTTAGTAATTTCCTTAAACAGCTGGTCACTGTAGGTTTTAGCAAACGTTACTCAAACGAGACTAAGTAGAACATTAGTTGGGGACTATTTTCGGCTGTGGATTAATACACATTTTTCATTCATTATTTAATATGTACATTAATA